ACTTTCCTATGGGGAGCGCTAATGCACATTACGTCTCCCCGGCCGGTGGGTGGGATCAGTCTCACCCACCGGCCGACACAATCAGAGGGAGGAGCGGCAGCAGAGGAAGAAGCAGCGACGTGGGACATTGTCACTGCCTCTGGTAAGTGACTGAAGGGGTTTTCACCCCTTCAGCAACCGGGGATTGGGGGGTGGGAGGGAGAGGGGCCCTGCAGTGCCAGGAAAAAGGATTGTTTTCCTGGCACTGGAGTTTCCCTTTAATATGTTTATTACCACATTCCCATCATTATGAAAAAGAAATGGAACATGCACTCATCCGGCTTTTCACACACTACACTGGATCATCATGAGTGCCGAGTGTCAAATACATACCCCCAATGAAAAATGTTTTATTCATTGGGGGTATCTAAAGTATCTACTAAACAGTTATTTCTTCTTTTTTGCCCATTTGAGCAGTGGAGTGTTTCTTTAATTAATGGTACAGAATGGTACAAATGTATATAAATGTTACATATTGGAATGTACTCCTTAGTATCAGCTGATCACGCTGGACAATCAGCGGCACTCCTGCTCAGCAGCATTCCGCACTTCCTGAAACTCAGTTTCAGAAGCCAGATGCTGGTGGGGAACCTGGACATCCGGTGATGGAGGCAGCCTTTGGGGTTCAGGTCGCTCGAGATTGATCTAACCCCTTAAAATAAGAGAGCACCAGAGGGCCTCCTGGCATCATAACAACTTAATTCAGATGAAGTTGTTATATTGATCAGAGTGTTTCTTTAATTTTCAATACTTTTTATATTAAAGTTTATTTATGTATTGAGGCTTTGTCCTGTTTAAATGTGGAGACCTGACAGACATGTGGATATCGTTTTCTTCCCAAGATAAATGAGAGGGAGTAAATAGTTTTTGGATTTGGCAGTAGGAGAAATATAACAATGGTTTGAAGACAGTCAAATGTATTAGGGTTTTCTGACTAAAGAGACATAGTTCCACAAGGAATTAAATGCTTGGAGCATATGAGGATTGCATTCCAACAGTTAATATTTTCTATAAGAAAACTTCTTATGTATCAGTGGTTTACTAATTTTAGTTTTGTGTTGGCTGTTTCAAAAACAGCAACAATATTACAAATGTAATGTAATATGTCATGTGTATGGACCATTGTCCCATGGGGACATTTAATATGAAATGGCCATATATAACACTATTGTGTTTCATCCATGCTACAAAATTTACGTTAACCACCAAAACCACTTTATCTCAGTGAAGTGTTTTTTTTTTCATATATTCTGTCCCTTTTCTTGTACAGATTTGTTGTTGTTTCTGAGAAATGTTTACATTAGTTTGAGAACATACCTAGTGGTTGTCAGTCACACAGCTGCCTAGAGGCACTTAAGACCCTATATTTTTGTAGTTCTTCAGATTTGGCATCATCATGCTATGCCTCATCATGTTGGGCGATGCTAGTGATTCTCATACAGAAGCGTTTTATTCAGTTGTTCTGTATAAAAAGCTGGACAGGCAGAATGCAATCTAAACCTATTAAGGAATGCTCTAACATTTATATTTAGTCAGTTCCTTTAATGACTATGGTTTATATATATATATATTAGATATATCATGCAGTGTCTGTTTTCATTCACTCTGGAAAGAGTTAAACTCTTTTTAAGGACATAGCTTAAGAGTCAACTAAAGGGAGTTATTTTTTTACAGATGTTTTGAGTTTTGTTAGGGCTCACAATTTCAACTTGCCCACTAGCATTGTGGAGTGAAAAGTCAACTTTAGCAATTAAAACTTCACCCCTGCGGAGTATGTCATGTACCCTCAAGATTTGCAGTGATGACTAACTTTTAGGCCTGCCCAGTAGACCTGAGCCCTGGTTTGGTCATTAATGAAGGTTCTTATATTATTATTATTATTAGTTATAAAGCGCCAACAAATTCCGCAACGCTGTACAATAGGTGGACTAATAGACACATATTTTTTTACCAGACACGTATTTTTTACCAGACGAGTTGGATGCACAAGAACAGAGGGATTGAGGGCCTGCTCAATAAGCTTACATGCTAGAGGGAATGGGATATTGTGATACAAAAGATAAGGGTAGGGGTAGAAAAGTAGGTTGCTAGGATAGTATTTACGGAGGGCTTAGTGTTTTGTTTTGATGACAGTTGCAGGAGAGGAATCAGGGTGTGGGCAGGGAAAGCTGTTGACAGTTTAATTGATATGCTTTCCTGAAGAAGTACATCTTCAAAGATTTTTTGAAGGAGTGGAGACTGGATGAAAGTCTAAGAGAGAGGGGAAGGGCGTTCCATAGGAATAGTGCAGCCCTAGAGAAGTCTTTGAGGAGAGCATCTGAGGTAGGAGTACGAACAGAGGATAGATGTATTAGGTCATCAGCAGAGCGTAGGCACCTAGATGGGACATATTTGTGTATTAGTGAGAATAGGTAGGTTGGAGCAGCATTGTGTAGAGATTTGTAAGCAAGTACTAGGATCTTAAATTGAGCCCTATATCGTACGGGAAACCAATGTAGGGACTGACAGAAGGGAGGCGTGGGAGGTGCAGACGGACAGGAGGATTAGTCTCATATGTTCGTATGCAGCTGACAAAGCACAGTGGTGCGAAACGCGTCCAGCATTCATTCACTTCCTTTCTTTCATGTAAGCAGTATATTTTACATTGCTATTCTTCTTGTTTTTGAGACTATTTCTGGCACTTCTTCAATAAAGGTCTATACCTAACTTGAATCTATTAACTCCCAGCATGCCAATTATTGTCACGTGCGATACGTCTTACAGTCCATTGAAAGTGGATGAAACATGCATGAGTTTCTTGTTTGGGCATATGTGGGACTTTGAAACAGGATTACTAACTCTAAATTGAATGTGTTTTTTGCTTTTTGTTTTTGACATACAAAATACATCCTTCTTGTACTCAAAAGGTTAAAGGATATACATTTGTGAAAGAGACATTGAAGTCCTGGGGTGAAGTTAGATCTAATTAATGTAGATGGATTCTGTGTACTCCAGCTAGCTTCTGCCTTACATCATTTTAGATCTGTTTTGTCAATGGCCCTGGCAGCCTCCATACTATTCAGTTATTGTACACAACATCAGTTTTTCTTTAACGTATCTCCCGTGGGAGTCTTTTTTGTTAAGTTGCAGAGCAAAGTTCAGATGAATTAAATAAAGACAAACCCAGCTGCGGATCTGTTCAGTGTAGGTAATCTCATTTTAGTACCCAGGCTATATAAAAACACTGCTGAGATGATTGGCTGATAAAGGAAAAGCATTTATGTAACTGATTTAACAGGAACAGTTTAAATTCATCAGATAACTTCAAAAATAGAATTGCTCATATTAACCGTGAGAAAGAAAGAGCCCCCAAATGCCATGTCATTTATAACCAATAATTTTCTTTGGAAATAAAAAAACAAAAACTAAAAAATATATAATTTTTACTATTCCTTTAAACTCAAAGTTACGCAACTGTATAACATACACTAAGCTCATTGAAAAATAATGACATTCTTAAACTTAGTCACGGTTAGGTATTGCATTTCCTTTTTTTCTTTCTATATTTTACTATCAATTTAACCAGGTATTCACTTTTCTCATAGTCTTTTATTACTGAAAAATATTATAAGATCAGACTAGTTAATAAAATTAAAAATACTTGATTACACAAGTATTTTATTCTTATGGGTATTTTATTATTGTGATTTACAGTGGTTCAATATGCAGCAAAGAGACTAACAGAGATATAGGTATATGTCCCTATGAAATTGGGCACCTACACTAAAACTGATCCAGGTGAAACTAACAAGATTTTCATGAAAAAGTAAAAAAGGCACCATGCCCAAATTGACACAAAACAGGAAAAGAAAAACACTATTTAGTTCATTGCTTATAGCCTTAATTGTTTCATGCCCAAGGCACTTGCTCACAGTCTTAGTTCAGATGAAGCAACTGAATCACCCTTCATATTTAAAAGACATCTGTCAACTCTCTCTAAAGAAGTTTCACCGAACATAGACATGCGCACCAGAGCAGGGAATCCCCACGACAGCTCGCACTTATGCCTGGTCGTAAGTTCGAGCCGTCTTAAAACAGGTAGTTTGCTAAATGAGGACCACCTGTAATTAAGAGTACTGAGTCAAGCAGTATTATTCTTACCATGTATAAACACTAGTAGAACTAATTTCATAGTTACATAGGCTGACAAGAGACGTGTCCATCAGATTCTGCCTTTCTCACATTTGTTTTTGCTGTCGATCCAGGAGAAGGCAAAACACAGTATGAAGCACTTCCAATTATGCAACAAACTAGGAAAAAAATCCTTCTTGACCCAAAAATGGCAGTCAGATTTATCCTTGGATTAATACGTTATTATGCCTAGGGCCTCGTGGCTGCCTAAATCACCTTAGGGGAGACTAACATGTCGGGTCTTTGGTCTATTATTGAGGGCCTGCCGGCTTGCCCATTATGCCACCGGGTGCGAGGCCCTTCCCTCAGTCTAATCTGAGAGAGAGCCAGCACAGCAGTACAGTCAGCTCTGCCTGGTGCACCTTTCCCACCCCCCACCCCCTCCTGCTCCACACAATATTACCCCTGCTCCACACTATATTACCCCTGCTCCACACTATATCACCCCCCACCGCTCCACACTATATCACCCCCCACCGCTCCACACTATATCACCCGCCCACTCCACACTATATAACCCCCTGCTCCACACTATATCACCCCCCACTCCACACTATATCACCCCCCAACACACACACACTCTCACCCCATTTACACATTCTCCACACTCATGCCCCTCCACACACTGTAACCCTCCTTCACCCTGCCACCTTAACATTAACCCTTCCTGATCCTGTCACACTCGCCCCCTCCAACAATGCAGCACTCACCCTATCACATAACCGCCCCTTTAATCCTGTCACTCTCACACTCATCCGCCTTCACCCTATCACACTGACCCTGTCAAATACCCTCCCCAATCCTGTCACTCTGTCATGATCACCTCCCCTTGTCCTGTAACACTCCCTATTCCAAATGTGCCACACTCATCCCCCCACATTTACCCTGTCCCCACATTCACCTCCCCTTGACCTGTTACACTCACTCCTCCAACTATACCATATTCACCCCAAACTTGTTGTACTGACTCTCCAACCAGAGGTGTAACTACAAACCACAGGGCCCTTGTGTGAAAATTGCCCTGGGGCCCCCATACGTCTGCGCCACCCCATATGTCTACTTCCCCCCCCTCCCTTATGGACCTCCAGCATCAGATTTTCCCCATAGAAAGCATTGAATAATTCCTATGGGGAGGTCCAATGCGCGCGTGACCATTGCCGCTCATGTGCATTAGGTCTCCCCCGCTGGCTGACATCAGCAGCGGAGGAGTGTGGGCGGAGCCTGACCCAGCGCAGAGGGACATCGGCGCTGGATTCAGGTAAGTGGCCGAAGGGGTTTTAACCCCTTCAGCAACATGGGAAGTGGGGGACCTATTAACCCTATAGTACCAGGAAAACCACTTTGTTTTCCTGGCACTATAGGATCCCTTTAACCTTTTTTGTTCACTAAAATGTTTTGATTCCTGTTATTAATTTTGTAACCTGCTTCTGCACTTTTTCTAGTGCCATAATACCCTTTTTAGAACATGTTCCCAAAATTGCACAAAATATTCAAGATGTGGTCTTTCCATTGATTTTTTAAAGAGGCAAAATTATATTATCATCCTGAGAATTAATGCCCCTTTTTATACATGACAATACTTTAATGGCCTTAGCCATTGCTGATTGACATTGCATAGTGTTGCCTAGTTTATTGTCTATGACAATTCCCAAATCCTTCTCGTGTTTTGTTATCCCTAACTCACTACCATTTAGGGTATAAGTTGTTTGTGCGTCTTTACCCCAAAGTGCATAACTTTGCATTATTCTACATTAGATTTCATCTACCATGCCCTGCCCCCCAATCTATCTTCCCTCTCAGCAAAGTAATATCTTGCTCACATTGTATTACTGTACAGAGTTTTGTGTCATCTGCAAACAGTGAAATATCATTTTTAAATATGTTAAATAGAATCTGTCCCAGAACAGAACCCTGAGGGACACCACTTACCACTATTGTCCAGCTTTAAAATGTAGCATTTATGACAACACTTTGTACTCTATTTTTGAGCAAATGTTCTACCCTGGACCAATTTTGTTTAGTTTAAACGTCAACATATTGTGTGGAAACATATCAAACACCTTGGCAAAATCCAAGTAGATCACATCCACTGCAATACCTTGATCTATAATCCTACTTACTTCTTCGTAGAATACAATTACGTTAGTTCGACAAGACTAAGTTTCATAATAAAACCATTCTGATTTTTATTAATGTTCTTCTCAATTAATTCGTGAATATTATCCCTTAATAATGTTTCATATATTTTTCCAGCCACATACGTTAAACTCACAAGTTTTTGAAAGGATTTTGAACCCTTTTTCAATATATGAACCACATCTGCCTTCTTCCAATCCTCCGGTACAATTCCTGAAAGAATCTTGGTAGATTAAAAAACAGTTTTAGAACTAGGAAATTATTTATAATATTATTTATTGACTCGAGTTGAATGCATAAATTACTTTTCTGTATGGATCCTCAAGTACCATAGATAATGACTCTTTACAGAACTAAAGTAGATTTTTATTGACCCTCATGAGTTGCCTTCAGTTTGTAACCATGAGTAAAAATTATTTTGTTTGCTGCTAATTTTAAGTACATATACTTTGAAGTATCTAATGGTCTGGACTGGAGATCATATCCAAATGGGACCAAAAGCCATCTTTTTGTGATGGTAATTAAAGGCCAAAAACTCTACACCCAAGTGTCTGTGCATTATACAGAGAGTTATGTTGAGCTAAGAATCAAATCGCAAAAGTTATACCAAAAAGTTGGGAAAATCACCAGGACTTTTGAATTCATAGCAATTCTTTTTAGAAGAATGCTTTTTAAGACTGACATGTTTAGGCCATGGAAATCATAGATTTAAATCATGTTACATGAATAATATGTGTTATTACAGTATATTTTTTTTATGCTCTTAGCATGCTGAAACATGATTTCTATAAGTTGAACAGTGCTGATAATGTGTTTTTACATGAGTAGCATGAATATCTCTTGCAGAAGTTATTCTTTGAGATGTGAGGACTAGCAAACTGATCACACAGCAAGCTGTTTGAAAAGTAGTTATTTGGTGATGTTTTTTTAGCAACCTGGACAAGTAGTTACATTAGCAGCAGTCAAGACTTGGCATCTATGGCCAATCTAAAGGGTCACCTAAAGCACCATAATATCTGTATATTTTTGCAGACGGTATGATGCAGAGCATAGTCTCCTGCCTGTTTCTCTAACTGGAAAAAAAAAAAGTATTACAAATATATGCTAGCTATCTGGATGTTACATTAAAGGGATGATTTTACATCCTTCGTTGTCATGGGCGTCCGCAGGAATTTTTCCAGGGGGGGGCATAATTGTAATGACATCCATGCTTGGTACCTTTTTGACAGTGTCATGAAAGGGAAGGGGCATAGCCATTATCACATAAAGCCAGGGTGAATAGCGTTTTCACAACTATGGTGTCAGGAATATATGTTTGTATTCCTGACACTATAGTGTTCCTTTAAGCAAATTAAAGGACCATTCTGGTCACCATAACAACTTCACCTAAATTAAAATGCTATAATGCCAGGAAGCCCCTGGATGCTCTCTTTCCTTTAAGGGGTTAAATCGCTCTCAAATGGTTTAACCCCAAAGGCTTCCTCCAGCTCCAGGTCGCTCAGTGGTATTCGGCTTCTGAAACAGAGTGTCAGGAAGTGCAGATTGATGTCAGGCATGAGTGCCGCTGATTGGCTACAGTGGACAGTTGACACTCTAAGCCAATCGCTAGTTCCCGGTTCATAAAATATTTTTACTTTTTTATGAATGGGTAGCTACTGATTGGCTTAGAGTGCCAGCTGACCGCTCTAGCCAATCAGCAACACCCCTACCCAGCGGCACTCTGTGCTTCCTGACACTCAGTAAATAAAAGTGAACACATTAACACTGAAATCTTTTTTACCTGGGGAGATGAGAAGGTCCAGAGTTTCCCTGCAAGGCCCAGGTACCAAAGCCTTATGATGTGGTGTCCAGAATAAAGTGGAGGGTTCACTTAATTTGTCCTTCCTGCTCCAATCTCCTTTTCCTCTCCTTCATTTGACAGTCTTCTTTTCCTTCTGACACTGTTTTCTATCCTTGGCTCCTTCTGCTCTTTTACCTTTCTGCTTATTTTGTGCCCTTCTGCTCCTTGCAGACCCTTTCTGCTCCTTTTTCTACTTTACCTTTGTGCTCCTTGCAGACCCTTTCTGCTACTTCTCCTACTTTACCTTTGTGCTCCTTCTGATTCTTTCTGCTCCTTTACCTTTGTGCTCCTTCTGTCCCTTTCGGCTCCTTGCTGCCTCTTGCAGGCCCTTCCTGTTCATTCTCCTACTTTACGTTTGTGCTCCTTCTGCCCCTTCCAGCTCATTTCTGACCCTTTCTGCTCCTTGATGTCCCTTCCTGCTCATTTCTGTTCCTTCTCCTTTATGCTCCTTCTCTTACTTTACCTTCCTGCTCCTTGCTGACTTTTCATGTAGGTTGTCTCCCCCATCCCTCACTTCCATAGGCGTGCGCACGGGGTGTGTCGGGTGTGCCTGGGCACACCCTAATCCCCGCGGCACGCCAATGGATTGAGACCGGCAGGGGAGATCTCTGGATCTCCCCGGTCGGCTCATGCAGAGCCGACGCTATCCGAGCGGCGGCTCTGGTCTAAGCCTCCATGGGCCGGTGGGGAGATCAAAGATCTACCTCACCAGTCCACAGCAGCATGGAGGGAGGCAGCAGAGAACCCGGGCTAGAGTTCACTCTCCACTGAACCACCAACGAAGGCAGCAGGACGGGGATATTAACTAATCTGCCCCCACCTCCACCCAAACATACAGCACACACAGCCCACAAACAGCACACACACAGCACCTACACACATATAGCACCCTCGCACACACAGCACCCACACACAGCACACTAGCAGCATCCTCACAAACACACAAAACCCAAACACAACACTCACACAGCACCCACAAACAGCACCCTGACAAACACACAACACCCACACACAGCACACTAACAGGACCCGAACAAACACGCACACACAAACACCCTCACACACACACAGCACACTAACAGCACTCTCACACACAGCACACTACCAGCACCCTCACAAACACACACACAAACACCCTCACCCACATAGCACACTACCATCACCCTCACACACACACACATCACACAACAGTGTATGTATGTGTATATATATATATATATATATATATATATATATATATATATATATATATATATATACACGTGGCGTGTGTTTGTGCTTTAGGGTGCACACCCTAATGCAATAGGCTGCGCACGCCTATGCTCACTTCCCTAACCTATAGGCTGACCCCCATGCCTCACTCCCCTAATCTGTAGACTGCCCCCCCCAGCCTCACTCCCCTAATCTATAGGCTGCCCCCCCAGCCTCATTCCCCTAATCTATAGGCTGCCCCCCAGCCTCATTCCCCTAATCTATAGGCTGCCCCCCCAGCCTCATTCCCCTAATCTATAGGCTGCCCCCCCAGCCTCATTCCCCTAATCTATAGGCTTCCCCCCAGCCTCATTCCCTAATCTATAGGCTGCCCCCCCATGCCTCATTCCCCTAATCCTCCCCCAGCCTCATTCCTCAGGCTGCCTCATTCCCTAATCTATAGGCTGCCCCCCAGCCTCATTCCCCTAATCTATAGGCTGCCCCCCAGCCTCATTCCCCATCATAGGCTAGCTATAGGCTGCCCCCCTAGCCTAATCTATATTCCCCTAATCTATAGGCTATCTCAAACCCTCCCCCCATCCCTCACTTACCTGATCTGTAGGCTGTCTCTGGCTGCATGTGTTGCTCCCCTGCGGTTTCAATCAGCAGAGAGAAGCAGGGATAAGATGCAGCTTCCTATCCCTGTCTCTCTCCATACACAGCGCCACCTACTGGCTGGCGCCGGTATTGCAGTTCATGTTAAATCTCACAAAAAATAGCAGAACAAGCTGAAAAATCCGGGGGAGGGGGGGCAAGTGCCCCTCCTTG